TATCTGCTTTGATCCGCTTCACTGAAATAAGGCATATTTGGCTTGAACTTCGCTTAAGTTAAAGTCATCGTTATTAGATCTTAATTAAAGTTATTTGGATCATCTCAAGTGAAATATATGAATAATGCATGTCATAATTCATATATTGTGATAGTTTTCACACAAAAAATAATAATAAATATATTTTGGAAATAGAAAATATATTCAAATTTTTAGGTATTAGATGCCATGGAATACAGGCTTTCGGTGATCAATCATCTTGATAAAAAAAATTTATTGTCGTCATATTGGCAAATAAAGGCATACTTCTTTTCAAAAAGCTAAATAGAATCGAGCAAAAAAGACTACCCTATTTCGTGCATGGTGAACTATATTGACCGATCACACTGAGAACACAAAAAAGATGAAACTATTTCTTGTTTCTAGTAGATGATGTCAGTCACTGCATGTAATTGTATCTCTTGGAAAGCAAGTGATAGTTAGAAATCGGATGCATTAAATGTTTATATTATATGCGATATTTGATTGATTTTGATTGGATTCTACCTAATTTATATGCGTATTGTTTATTTGGTGTATGCACAGGGCAAATGTCAAATTTGGCGTAATTGGAAGAAAAAGTAAAGAAAAATTCAGATTTGCACAACTTAGTTAGTCATGGCCATGGCTAACTACACCCTCTTGACATGGGAATTTAATTAAAGGCCCAAAAGTCCAACTACAAAACAATTAGGGCAAAAATTAAATAAAAGGGGGAGAGATCACACGTTCCAGAGATGAGAGAACGGCTAGGGCAGAGACGCGCAAGAGCAGGAGACTGACAGACTCATAGATCACGTAGGAGTAGGAGACTGACAGACTCATAGATCGCGTAGGAACAAATCGACAGAGAAGATTTCCCCCTCCCACTATGACTTTATCTTTCTCTTTGGTTCTTTGTTATTTGATTATGGAGTAGATACTTTTCTGGTTTGAGGGGTGATAATGTTTTGGTTCTTTTGTTTTGGAGATTTGTGATTTTCTTTATAAAAGTTTTTTTTTATTATCAATATTTGTCTAATTCTGATAATAGCGCTTGTGATTGTTAGATTGATTGAATATTTTGGTACCGATATTTAAATTAGTCTGATAAACTAAAGTCAATTCAGGTAGGATATCCATAATTGTATTCACACTTGAATAGGTGACAATCGGGTTGAATAGTTCCTTCCCGGGGGTTAGACAATCAAATCTAATTGCTCCTCTTAGGTGGTAATTGTTTTAAATTGGGTTTTACTATATTAGAATGCGGGTAGGCAATATTTTTATGGGCGCACCTAGGTTTATTTGCTTAATTAAGGGCAGTTAACGGTCGTACTTTAATTACCTGCACTGTAAGGAAAAATTGGTTGTCAGAGCTTGTTGATAACTATAACCAATTTATTGATACATTAATAAGAATTAACTTTATTGAATTAATGATAAAACACAAGTGTCATAATTGCATCATCCCTTGAATCAGGCATCCCCTTGATAGTCAGTTCCCCTTAATTTAATTGCTTTATTATTTTATTTTCACTCGATAATAAAAGAAAATTCTCCCTTTATTTACTGCATTAGAACATGAAAGAGTGAATCCCACAATCCCTGTGGAGACGATCCCTTCCCCTATATTACATTACATTGTGATCACGGATTAGGTGAAATATTTGATTGACCGTGCGATAGGTCAACAAGGATCAAGCCTTCATGTCATAATGAAGTTCAAGGTTGATGTCAAGCTAGAAATAGGCGATGTCTGTGGGCCCTACAAACAGATCAAGGAGGAAAGTTCATTTCAATCGACTTTAAATAGTGTGATGCAGATCAATGGATTGCATAACAACTCATGGAACCATATTCACCCAAAAAATAGTGTCGTTGAATGATGCAACCAACTATCATCAGCATGGCACAGAGTCTGCTCAAAGAAAAAAGGATGCTGACTGAGTTTTGAAAAAAACGGTCACCACTATGCTATTTCTCTTGAATCGGATGCCAAGAAAAATCTTAGATTGGATGATGTTGTTTGTAGCGTCGCAAATGTGAAGGAGACCCGCCCAACTGTCTCATTCTTATGCACAATTGGGTGCAATGGCTATGTAAAGGAGTCCGTCCAAATCTGAAAAAGATAGATGATCATAGCCAAAAAAAAAAAAGAAATACTTGATTACAAGCTAGATCGAAAGCTTATCTAATGTACAATTCAATTGCAACGCATCCAGTTCTCCAGAGATATAACATTCAATGAGAAGGAAAAATAGAACTGAAAAATTCTTGACAATAAAATAGCGAGGTGACACCATCACCATTGCCTGATGATTAATGCCACCAGGCCCAATTTTTTTATACTGGGCCAGCGAGTTCGATTTATTTTAGGTCGAGACAATCCCGGCCAAGTTTTATGCGGGCCTAGAAGTCTAGACCCGAGCACAGCCAATTTCGAAACTGAGATAGGTTGGGCTAGCCCGATTTTAAGTTATTTTCAATTTATTTTTTCAAAAAAATCTAATATACAACTTAATAAAATTTTAAATGTAAAATATAAAAATTGAACATATAACCCAATAATAACATAAAACCTCAAACATTAGACTATACTTCAATTTTTAACGTATATTTAGTAATTAATATCTTTATAAAACTATTTAATTTTAAATATTATTAATTTATAACTTCGGGATAGGCTAGGCACGGCCCGACTTTAGTGGGCCCAAGAACAACCCAAAATTGTTTTGGCCTATTTTTTTAGACTCAAGCATAAATTTTTGTACCAAATTAGATTAGATTTTTGGAGCATGCTTATTTTTGCCAGCTCTAACCATCATACAATACAACATAGCTCGGATTCATCCCCAGATGAACACCTTCTGTTGCAAACTACCGAATCCTTAGCTGATCTTCACAATGATAACTCTGGTGGTCCATAATAGTGGTTCAAGTTCATGGGTGACATTTTTTAGGAACTTGTCATCTGTAAGTTAAACTAGGCAAGCATAGAGGAGCCAACTACTTTTGATGTTTCAAAGCACGACCCAGCTTGGCACTAAGCTATTTTGGAATAAATGAACTTTATTGAAAAAGAGTTCAAATCTAAGAGATAGTTGAAATTTCTGTTAGACATCACACAATCGGGTTAAAATGGGTCTTCAATGTAAAGAGAAATGAGTATGGCAACATCAGAAAACAAAAGGAATGGCTCATGGCAGAAGAATATGTGCAATGCGGGGGTCGATTTCAAGGAAGTTTTTGCCCTTGGCATACGAATGGAGTCGATGTGACTTTTGTTGGCACTAGAAGCACATCAGGCTGGTCCGTACACTACATGAATGTGAAGTCCGCATTGCTGAACGGAGAATTGGTGGAGGAAGTCTATGTGCAACACCACCGGGGTTCATCATAAAAGAGCAAGAGCACAAGTTTCTTAGATTAAGAAAATCATTGTATGTATTGCACCAATCCCCGCATGCTTGGAATGTCAAGCTAGATGACAATCTCAATGACTTGGGATTTGGCCAATGCATGGACGAGCATGCTTAATACACTCAATGGAGATATGGTAAAGCACTAATCATTGGTGTCGACATTGATGACTTGATAATCACTGGAACAAGTCAAGTCGGGATCGACAAGTTCAAAGGGGATATGATGTCTTGGTTTCTTATATCTGACTTTGGTCTTATAACATATTGCTTTGGCATTGAGGTTAACCAAAACATTGGGGAGATCATACCCTATCAGAATGCCTACGGTGACAAGCTTTTTAAAAGAGTCATATGACTTATTTCAATCATTGCCTTACACTGATGGAAGAAAAGCTCAAGTTATCCAAGACTTCAAATGTTCCACTAGTGGATGCCATGTACTACCAAAGCGGAGTAGGAAGTCTACGTTACCTGACTTACACCCAACCAGACATCACTTTCACCATTGGATATGTAAGTTGTTTCATGAAGGATCCATAGGATAAATACATATGTGCTGTCAAGTGAATCCTAAAATACAATATTTGGATGCGATCTTTCGGTGTCATCTACTCTAAAAAAGAGGAAAGAAGGTTATTAGTGTCAGGATTCAGTGACAGCGACATCTCTGGTGACCTCAGTAATCGAAAGAGCACAACAAGTATCCTTTTTTTTCCTCAACAATAATTTGATCTCTTGGAAGTCCCAAAATCAATGGGTTGTAGCTCTCTCTTCTTGCAAAGTTGAGTACATTGCTGCTACAATAGCAACCTGCCAAGCGGTATGGCTTCATCGACTACTGCAGGAATTATTGACGTTGAAGGTACATGCATGAAAACTAAGGATGGACAACAAGTCAACTATAGCACTCAATATGAACCCTGTCCTCTGTGACCGAAGTAAGCACATTGACACGCAATATCACTTCATCCGCAATTGTGTCGATAAAGGAGAAATTGTTCTCAAATATACCGAGTCCAAAAGGCGATTCATAGATATTTTGACAAACCTACCCTTACATATCCAATTTCTAGAGCTCCGCACAAGAATTGGTGCAATTGGGGTCAACTGAAGGGAATGGATTAGAGGGGGTTTGTCAAACATAATCCATCTTACAAAAGATCATGTCAAAAATTCTTCCCATAATCAAGGGAGCTGTTCTCGTGCTTGATTCTTCATGGTTATGTTTCGGATTGACTTTTTTGTCTTTTTCTTTTGTTAGTCCATTTGTTGGTGTATATCTAAATGTTGTGTTTTAGTTTTTAACCATCAGCCAAGAAATCAGAATATAAATTCCCCTGAGTAATTTCTCCAATCCAAGCGTGTCTACTTGTTTATTCATTTTAGTTTTGCCTTCAGTCAGCACAGAATTGAATGCAATTATTCACCACTCTAACACCAGCTTTTCACATAAGGTCAAAATAGTTATATAAAGATATAATACACATCAAACATCATCTGGATTACTATAATCTTGTCTGAAATAATGTTAAAACAATACAATGAGTCGATAGTTGATTGAAGGCAATCCTCCGTGTACCTACTTCAATCTTTATACACATGCAGCTACAACAAATTCTTGAAAATAAAAATAAACAAAATAATGTAAAAAACAATCAACAGGATATAATTGATAGAACAGTTATTGAAGAAGGGCCAGCATACATGAAATCAAATAAATTAAAATCACTAATTTACTTATTAGAATAAAATTAAAAAATCTGAAATAAGTTATGGGATTTTGTTGTCTGACTCTTTCTTTGGCTGCCAGACTGATCTGGCTCGAACAATTTCTGTATGATTGGCTTCCATTCTCAGCAAATGTGTGCATTCAAAATCGTCTTTGTTGCCAACCCTAATTTCCTCATTACATCTGGTCGCTCCGTCGCCTTCTTGGTTGTCTCCATCCTTTGCTACTTTGGGTTTGATGCTCGTCAAGGATTGAAGAACATTCGACAGACGACATTCGCGTCGATACTCTAGTGTCATCCTTGTCAGGTTGTAATCTTCCAGCACATTTATTGGCACACTCTGCCAATATATGTATATATATATATATATAGCTTCTATTAGGATTTTGATTAATCTCAATACATATGAAAATATAAACATTAATATATGAAAATATAATATACAACACATGCTATATAGTGTGTTAGCCTTTGCTATCAGTTTTATTTTGTGTACTGTGTTAGTAGGCCTTGTGCGCTAAAATCAATTGTATTATATGCTCCGTTCATGTATTTATATTATTTGTGTTATTAGTAATGTGCGGATTATATATAATCAGCATAGTAACAACGGCCCTATATATATATATATACACACACACGTGTGTTCGACGTGCTCAAAATTGGTTCAATGGAAACTTGATGGTGATATTCATGTGTATAAAATACCTCTAGAAGCCACCCAATGTATTTCACATTGTTTACGTGTTGATTGGCATCCATGTCACTCCATCGAGGCTATATTATCATCGAATTCAAAATGTTCTTAGATATTAATCAGATTATCCATAACTAAAATGTGTATGAATATATATATATATATATATATCTTACTGCCAAATCAGTTCGAATTCTTTGAGCAGTTTCGTCGGTGAGCTTCTCAATCCTGTCGCTATCGGTGTTTTCAGTGGTGATCGCTGCTCGGTTAAGGTAGAAAGGCTCCACCTCTTTCTTCACTTCTTCAGGGATTTTACTTAACCTTCTTGTTTCTCTGTTCATGATAACCCACGTACTGCACAAAGGCAAAACAAATCGAGTAATGAGACTTGATGAGTTCGAATGATTATCATTTCAATTGTTATGAACTCTTGTATGAAGATGGCTGATCATAGATTTGTAGGAGATAACCTGGTGGCTCTGGTTATGATATTTTGAGTGGCGTAATCTCGGATAATCCAGTCGCGACGCATCCCATTTTTCCCGGCAGCATCCACCCAAGTGTCTATCTCCACCATGTCTCCCCTATATATCACCATTTACATTATATATATATAACTATTGAGGTAAAGAAGAGGAGATGATCTATAAGCCTATACTTGGATTTGAGAGTGGATTTTAAATAAATGGATTTGAAGTATTCATAATTAAAATTGATTATTTGGATGGACAAAATATTTGAAATGGCATCATATAAAGAGAAATTTTAAATTTTAAATGAAAAATCATTTGGAATTTAAAATAATTTTGAAGATTTGAGATCCACTATGTTGTAAACGAAATTAATAAATTTATTGAAGTTATTTGAAATATATTTAACCCAAATCCCTCCAACCAAATGGGAAATAGAGATTTTCGAAGAAACATATATAAGGAAGTTGTTTTCACTAATTGAATAGACATGGCTAATTCTTCTTGATTTTCATGTAAGTAGATATATATATATATATATATATATCCATTGATGTAAATTCATGAGTTATGGATGAATTTATGCAGCAAAGCAGAGTTGATGGGGATTAGTTTACAGAAATACCAAGAGCTATATTTTTCGATTTGCACATGTATCCGAGTTACGACCCAAATAAGCTTCCGAGCACTCATCTCTCGGGTGGCTCCAAATCCATTTCCAGCCACCCCGGCGCTCGCGACATGATTCAGGGCTGTCTCCTACGTACATATATGAATGTTTGTTCATGACAACGGCATTATCTCAATTAACCATAAATACAAAAAAATACATTATATATGTGGGACTTGAGTTTTAACAAAACATGAAGGTAAAATACATTAAAACCTCCACTAAAAAAGAATAGTATATTTGTAACGGAATTCCGTTCCTAAAGTTCACGTAGCTAATGTAATTCCGTCCCTAATTTTGTCTCTAATATCATTAGTAACGGAAAAAGTAGATTTAAGAACGAAAAAATCTTATTACAAAATTGATACTTTTTTGTAGTGAGCTGTAATAACTTAGTGAAATGTTATCATTCTCCCATTGATTTATAATTGGGTTAAATTTATTTATTTTTAAAATCTTGTAATGAGTCCCTTTAGTTAATTTTTTATAAATAAAATAAAATAAAAAAATACACAGTAAATGCTAAGATTTAACTAGATAAAATTGTCCATAGAAGTATATCAAATTTTGAACAAATGTTCAACAAATACACATAAATCTCACATAAATTTATAGACTACAGAAAAAACAATGATTTTTTTTACCAAAGCACAGAGGAAGTGATACAATGTAATTACATTACCATAACATACGGGTATATATGTTTTGTTGCAACATAATGATTTCTGGAGTTTTAAAACTTTGAAAAAAATTTTAAAATAGTAAAAATTTAGTATAACAGCCTGTGAGATAAAATAAGTTTCTTATATTATAACTTTGAAAAAATAATAATAATAATACTTTAGATGAATATTGCCGAAAATTTTAAAAATACATACACTACAGAATCAATATTTTATGAAAAAAATACTTATAATCCACCTGTAGTTTGAAAATTTTATGTCATTCTTCCTTCTAGATTTAAAAATCACATGAGACTCCTCATGATTTTTAAGAGACTAAGTGCTATGTTTTCAAAAACAAATATTTAAATTTAAAATTTTATATAATTTGTAAAAAAAATAAAAGAGAATCTAATGTAATTTTTAAATTTTAAAGTAGTATGTCGCAGACTTTCTCAAACAAATGTCATAATTTTAAGGGATTACATGTAATGTTTTAAAAAAATACTAGTGAGATTTTGGTTTTTGGTTTTGGTTTTGAATAGTAAAATTTTGAATTAAAATAGTTGTTTGATGTGATATAAACATGTTTGATGTGATTTTTTGAATGTAAAAATTTAATTTTAGTATAATATAATAAATAAAAAATATGTGTTTGATTTGATTTTTTGAGAAGAAAAAAAAAAATTGGAATAGTAAAATAAAAAGAAACAAATCTCACAACTAAACACACCCGTTCTTAAAAAAAATTTATGCAATATTTTTTAAAATACAGAAAATCTCATTCAGTTTTAAATATGATACAAAATTTTCAAATAAGTGATTATAAGTATTTTTTTTGTTATATTTTATTTAATGTGTTCATCTTAAAACAATAGACATCCAAGTTACCCTAATTAAAAAAAAAAAAAAAGATCGAACCTGGAGGAGATTCATCAGGGTTTCCATGGTTGCAGTTTTATCAGGTCCAATCTCATACGATCTTACAACAAACGACTGTCTGTAAACCAACCGATCTTCGACAAACTTTCCCAGCAAATAATCATGGTTTGTCTGCAGGCTCAATTCCCCTTCCTGGGTAGTATTGTTATTCCTCTTCTCCAAAAAAGGTATCCTATCCAGAGGGACACCATTCTTCACTTTTCTCCCATTAACCATATCCACATTGCCCGTTGCCGCCGTCGTCTTCATGTTCGCCATTACCTTCACACACCAACTTCTCTTCGGAAACCCCACATGTCGAAATGTCGAGAAATAATCCTTCCTGTCCGCACAATCTTTGCCGAGACGAAAGGCCGTGGCGGCGTTGTTGTTGTTGTGCATCAACGCCATGGAAATGAAGAGATTAAGATCGTGATTCTTGTAGATAAACTTTAATTCATCAGATGGATTGGATTGCACGACAGATGTAATAAAGAAAGAAATTGTATGTGAGAATGAGACCTCTTAGTCTAATCTAAGTTTGTGTTTAATGTTTTGGTGAGTAGAAAAGTGGAATTGGAACGTTGGTAATGGTAGGTGATCTACTCATCAGACAGACGAACTTAGAAAAGCAATGTTTTAGGGAAATTGTGCTGTCGAAAAGGTGGGGTGGGGTGGGGTGGGGTGGGTCCCTTGAGCTGAATGTAGGTTAACCACTCGATTTGGTGGGGGAGAAAATGGAGGCTTCTTTAATTAATTTGGCTTACACGGTGGAGTAGAGACTTGTCAATCGTGTGGTTTATGAACAATTTGGATTTCTACCTATTTGTAGAGTTTGTTCTCATGTAATTTCAATAATATTAATTATTATGTATATTTTTAATAAAAATATATTCTCTAAAGGTACTATTTATTTTTCATTATTGTATTTAACATTAAAAATATATTTATATTTGTATAAATTTTTGTACAAATGTCCTTCCATTAGTATTATAGGACACTAATGAAAATATTTTTGCAATTTTTTTAATTTGTACTAAATTTTGATATAATAATTAATATTCAAATATCAACACTCAAAAAATAGATGAGACCTCAGAGTCACGGATGTAATATTATTTTTTTATAAATCTAATTCAAAATATTATTTAAATAAAAATTTAAATTAATATTCTATTTCAATTCACAACTAAACTAACCCTTAATATATTATTTCAACTTTTTAATAGAAATATATAATTTTTATCTTAGAAAATATTTAAAAAATAATAAATAAAAAATATTCCACTATTACAAATTCTCCAAAATACTCCATTTTTATAATTTCTAATAACTAATATTATCTCTGTTCATTAATAAATTTTTATTTGACTTTTACACGCATATTAAAATAAATTAATATTTTATAAAATATATAGTATAATAAAATAATATAATATTCATTTTAGTCTTGATAAAAAGTAAAAGTAATGTTATAAAATTTCTGGAATTGCTTAAATACTAAGAATATGTTAATTGTAATTTCAAACCGAAATTCAATAAAAATATACTCTCTCCCTTACAAGATAGTTAACATCTTTCATTAGAAATACAATAATTAAAGAGATATATAATTACTTAATAATAGTGATTATGATATTATTGTAGTATTACTTTTTATATAATTAATAATATTCCTAATTTAAAAATAAATTTAATATGTATGATAAAAAAAAATAAAATATGTATTAAAATATTTTAAAAATTATATCACAATAAAAAAAAATATTACCTGCAATATGGATATCATCAAAGAATAAAATTTTTTATAATACATGTAAATTAAAAAAAAGGGTAAACTGGGTAAACTGTTTTTTTAATTCGGTAACTGGACCCCCTTATCATTTTAGTCCTGTAAGTAGAACCTGTCGCAAACTGGTCCCATAAGTGAAAAATTTTCGCTGTTTTAGTCCTCCAGCGTCGGAGATGCCCGCGTGGCTCGCCGGAGGTGACGTGTCCGCCAGGTGTCGCTGACCTAGCGGACACGTGGATTTTTTATTTTTTTTTCCGTGTTTTTAATTTTTTTTTAAAACTTATTTTTAATTTATTTTAAATTTTATTTGTATTTTTTTTATTTGGTCCAATAAAAAAAAATTTAAAAAATGAAAAAAATGAAAAAAAATAAATAAATCCACGTGTCCGCCAGGTGTCGTTGACCTGACGGAATACCTGGCGGACACGTAAGCTCCGGCGAGCCACGCGGGCGTCTCCGGCGCCGGAGGACTAAAACAGCGAAAATTTTTCACTTATGGGACTAGTTTGCGACAGGCTCCACTTATAGGACTAAAATGATAAATGGGTCAAGTTACGGGAATAAAAAAAACAGTTTACCCATTAAAAAAATATTTTTATTATTTATAGTAACATAAATTAATTTTATAAAAAATATAAAATTTTAAATGTAGATAAATCTCTAGGAAAGATAGAAATAATGAAGTTTAACTGGGTCTTACAAATGTATGATGTTATATATTGTTTGTTTGGGGGGTTGGATTGGATTTACACTATTCATCTCATTTTTTCCCCCAAAAACATCAAATCAAACATCTATTTTTTATTTTTTATATTATACTAAAAATCAATTTTACATTCAAAAAATCACATCAACACCTATTTATATCACATCATACAACTATTCAAATTCAAAATTTTTACTATTTAAATACCAACTCAAAATTCAAACCCTCAAACAAACACACAAATTGATTTAAATTTGTTAAATGTGGTTTGGTTTAATAAATTTTGCCAATAATAAAAGTACGTCAATTGTTATGGGACATGCTAAAATAAAAATGATGTTAATTGTACGTGGTGGGACGGAGGGGCTATTATTTTTTATATATACAAATTATATCAAAATATTATTTAAATTAATTTAAATATAATATCATTTCAAATCAATTTTAAACTACAAATTTCTTTTTTTAAAAAAAAATGTTTGGTTGTAATAGCAAATTAAAGTTATCACTATTCACTATGCATAATTTTTAATACTCAATCCGTCTCGTACACTATAAAAAAATAATATATTTGTAACGGAATTCCGTCCCTAAAGTTCACGTAGCTAACGCAATTTCATTCATAATTCCGTCTCTAATGTCATTAGTAACGGAAAAAGTAGATTTAGAGACACAAATATTTTGTTACAAAAATGATGTTTTCTTGTAGTGATAATAAAGTATCCATTTTTCCATTTTAGTTCGTCTCAGTATCCATTTCCTTTTTTAGTAACTGTACTATCTACCTAACATTACAAATACCCTTACAACTTACAATATATTATACAAATGTCATTACATTTATATCACACATACTAATAAGGTTATTTTAGTCATTTCTACTTTATTCCTACTATATCTCAATATAATACTAATATTTTTAAAACTATATGCAAAAAGCAAATGGATATTTACTTATGGGATGGAGGGAGTAAAAAATATTTTATTTTATTTTTATAAAATATCATATCATATATTGTTTAAATAAAAACAAAAATCAATATATTCATTAAAATCAATTTTAAAACACAATCAAACAAAAATATATGTAATTTTCCTACCCTTTAGTTAAGGTAATTAATAGGTAAAATTGCTTATAACTCCCCCGTGGTTTCGAAACTCAGCGTAAAATCTCCCTGTACTTTAAAAAATTGCATGGTACCCCCTTATACTTTAAAAAACGTTGCATGAAACCCCACCACCATGAAACTTTCCTCGTGTGATAAGAAGATGATTTCCTATCTATATGTTTTGCATGGCAAGGGGGCTTTATGCAATATTTTTTAAAGTATAAGTGCGCGTCATGCAATTTTTTAAAGTAAAATGAGGATTTATGCGGAGTTTCGAAACCACAAAGTGGTTTCATACAACATTTCTTAAAGTATAAGGGGGCATCATTCAATTTTTAAAGTAGATGGAGAATTTACGCTGAGTTGCGAAACCACAGGGGAGTTATGGGTAATTTGTGCCTAATTAATATACTAACTCCGCCTCGCAAAAGGAGTAACATTTGTTTTTTGTACGTAAATTTTTTAATATTAGTATTATATTGGTTTATAGTAAAAAAGACAAAAATATCCATATTAAATTGTGTGATAAAAAATAGTGGCATTTATATAATGTATTGAAAATTGTAATTGTATTAATTATGCTAGATAAACACTACCATTACTAAATTAGGAAATGATATATTTTTTTGGAACCAATAAAAATGGTATCATTTTTATGGGACGGAGGGAGTACTTCGTATGTTATATCTTTATATTTAATTTAGTTTATTTTTTTGCTTTATTTAATTTTTGCACCGTTTTTATGTGATACAATTTTGATTGTTTATACTTCATTTGTCCCAATAGGGTTGTCTTGTTTTTGTATTTTTATCCGTCCCAAAATAATTGTCTTATTTTCTTATTTAGTAATTGTGGTCACCACTTTATAACAAAATTATTCCTACTTTTCAAAACTATCCATAATTATTACTCTAACCTACTTTTTAAAATCATTTAAAAAGTAAGAGTATTTTAGTCTTTTATCTTATATTTTATACCAATTTCACTTAAATATTATTGTTGATGTATTTTTTCAACAAACAAAAAGTAGAATTCAAAGATATGGAAAATATCTTTAAACTTGATTAATTAGTGCCAATCTCTAAACACTGTACGGTACATAAGAAAATTAACTGGAAAATAAAATGCTGGAAAATTAAAGTGGTGATCCCCGAATCTAACTTTACTTTGTTGAAGTTGATTGAAGATGGTTTTTTTTAGGTACCTTAAATAACCCCTTAAAGAAACGGTTTGAACCATCATTTGGTCGGTTACAGCAACTGCTGTCAACCGTCCACCAAGTTCTCCTCTGTTGACACGTGTTGCAACTTCCTTCAACCGTTCGCTGGTTGCAACTTCCTCCAACCGCCCCAGAACTGCCTCTCATGATTTGAACCGTCCCAAAAATGCCTTTCGTCCGACCTGCACATCCACTGCTATGTCCCTTCTTGTCCGACTTCGTTTCGTCCAACCTCTGTGCCACCCGACCAATCTAGAGACTAACTGATCGCTAGACCAAACGATTCCTTGGCCCCCCCGTCAAGCGACCACCATCTGGTCTCTCGTCCGACCACGTATCGTCCGTCTAATTCTTCTTCGCCCGACCTCACTTAGTCTGAACTCTGCATCAACCGACCTCCATATCAGTCGACCTCCGTGTCGTCCGACTCAACCGATTGCGGACCGTCCGACCTGCTCAACCGACTTTGGACCATCCGACCTATTTAACCGACTGAGAACCAACCGACCGCAGACCAACCAAATGTGGTCCCGACCACAGAATAACCGACTGTGGTCCCGACCACAGAACAACCGACTGTGATCCCGACCACGGACCAACCGACCTCGGTCCCGACTGCAGACCAACCAACTGTGGTCCCGACCACAGAGCAACTGACTGTGGTCCCGACCACAGAGCAACCGACCGGT